TATTTGTCTGTTTTTTTAAACTATGGTTTTACTCAGTTTTCGAAAAAAAACTTTGCCCAGATCAACATACTTAAGTTTTTCTTTTCACAATTTCATTATTTCAGATAAATGAAATTAGACCCATATCTCTCACCTCATACAAAAATCAACATATATATACTAGGAATTAAATAGTTAATTTTTGTGATGTTTAGTTTTCTTTTTCTTTTTTAAAAGTTTTTCAATTTATAGTAAGTTTATGTACAGATAAACCCATCATAAACTAAATGTATTTGAAGTCATGAATCTTTTTCACATGAAACTGGGCAAACATCATAACGTAGCAGCACATGGCCCTGTGTCACCCACAGTTTACCCTCTGCTTTGCATAGCTGACGGAGAACTCACTGATGCTGCCTGCCCTTGTACAGCAGTATATCCAGTCTCTTATCATTAGCTTAGAAAAACGTCAAAATTCAGGGTTTGAAATAAAATTTCCACTTAATGCATGTAATTTTGCATCATTGAAAGTTAATAAATTGCAAGTTGAACCAGGATAATTCAGAGTTTTTATTTTATATCGCATCTTCTTGTGATTATTTAACTTCATAAAGTTAACCTGAATTTGTTTAATGTTAATAACATAAGCAAACTGGCAAAAAACTTTGTTAATGTCCATAATGTACAAAAGCATACTTTTATTTTTCTCTCTATGCCTTAGGACTTTGGGCTGAAAGTGGACATTTGATTCTAATTATGAAGTAAATATCAGAATCAAATAATTCTTCCCTTTTAGATCTTGCTGATCTTTGTTTTTTTTTTTTTTAGGTTTACTGTTTTTGGCTTTCTCTGTGCTAAGATTTACATGTGAAAACTCCAAGTATTAGTTCTTCTCGTATCTTTTCTGAATTGTCCTTTCCTGGAGGTTATATTGTGACTTTCCTGTATATGCAGTTGCTTTTGTAGTTGAATGGCCTGACCTTTAACATCTGATTCACAAAAGAGAAAAAAGAGAAAAAGAACAGATAAAAAAAAAAAAAGTAGTCTCTCAAATTCCCTGAAGTTATTTAAGCTGGAGGTGAAGGATGGATGTGCAAAAATAGGAGAAGATAAGACACAAGTGGCTCCAGCCTCCTCAGCTGCACTTGTGTGATGAGAAGCAGCAGTCCCCTCTCAGAACACAGATCTTTCAGGTTTGAAGTACAGAGCTCCTTTTTCCAACCACAAATCCTGCGGAAGTTGTTCCAGTTTTACATGCAGAGTTGTCTGCCACAGACCTGGAAAGGGGAATGGTGGGTTGCTACTGTAAGAGTTAAAATGGACTCAGGTTACCTCTAGTTTACTTCCACACCTTCCAGTGGGAGCTGCATTCCTTCAACAGATTGAGGCAGGCTCTGCTCAGGCGTTGCTGTCTATGTGCGGAGCTGTTTCTAGGGCTTTGAATGCCTCTGTCTTTACAAAATCTTCCTCTGGTCCATCATTTTTATCTTTTTTATTAATATCAAGAGTTACTCAAGGCTCAGTTCTGTGCCTGTTTTTCTTGATATATTCTGTCAGTGACTACAGTTCAACTACATGTGTTTCTTACATTTATGTTTCCAGTATAGCCGTAGACCTCTTTGACTGGTTTCTAGTATATAAGAATTACTATTTTGGCATTTTCTAGTACTATTGATATCTCATTACTTGTAACCAACTTTCCTAAGACCAATAGAAACAACAGGACATAGTGAAAAAAAGCTACAAATGTATCAAAGAACAGTGTTTTTCCTGTCTCCCACTAAATTATGTAACCTTATATATGTAGTTCAGCTTTGGTTGACCTTATCTGTTATTTTATCTGTATGAAAATGCAGGATCTGCATTGTTAAATAACTTTTACAGTTCTTTCAGCTCTCACATTTTATTATTCAATTTCAGCCTGGCTAACTCAATACTTGTAATATTGATACTAATAACAAGTCATCCATATTATAAAGGGCTGTAAGACATGGGTTTTATACAGCTAACAGAAAATGCATTTAAGATTTATGAGGTAATGTATGATAACTTTTATGCTCCTAAATGTAAACAATGATCTTATTAAAACATTACAGAAAAAGGAATTTAAAAAAGAGACATAAAACATGAACTAGCGAATTAGAACAAATTAACCAAAATGTGTTTTAAAACCAAACTTCACACTAGTAGACTGGAAAATAGGCACATACATCACAGCACTGAAGTAGAGCAGAAATGCAAACAAAATAGTAGGAGTAAGGTAGGAAACAGGGAAATTGCCCTCAGGTGAGCACGTGCTGCAGATGAGGGTCCTACTTCTGATGTGGCTGTGCCGGAAGCAAGGTCCTCATAACCGGAAAGAGCAAAGTGATGAACCTTATCCCTTCACAATGTCATCTAAGATAGTTCTTCTCTAGCTATAAGGTGAACTCTCCCAGATGTTACTATTTGGCAGAAGAATAATATTTTTAATAATAGTGCCTTCCCAGTTACTGGTCCATGCTCTGATTTTTTAAAAATCTTTATCCTTGCATGATCTTTCTATACTCATCTCCAGATCTAAAAAAATGTAGAGATCTGTATCCATGCATTAAAAGACACATCCCCAAACCACCTACTAAATATACAACTATAAAAATGACTCCTAAGGAACTTTCATTTAATGTAATACACTTAGCTACATAATTTTCATAATATTATACAATGAGTATGCAGGACACTAAGTTGAGAGACATAAGAAGATTATAAATCCTGAGCAGAAATGAATATAAAGTACTGTTTCATTCGTAGGTCATTGCACTGAATGAATAAATGCTGTACTTACTGATTAAAAATATACTTTCTTTAATTCTGTTCTCAATAAGTAGGATTACTAGAAGTATGAAACGGCTAATTACATTTAATGAATATCCACACGAAAGAGTTGCAAGAACAGATGTCTTCAAGAGGTTTCATAAAGAAAATGAGATTTGAAGACGCTTCAACTGTGTGTGTGTGTGTCTTGAAAGAGATTATGGAGAGCATTTAAGAATAAGGAGTATTGGCTTTTAAGAGAGAAATGATTTTGAATAACAGCTTTTGAAAGAGCAGGCAGACACCTAAGTTTGTTAGTTTTCCACGGCTGTTAACCAATTACCACATATTTAGCACTTAACGAAACATCTCACAGTCTCTTTGAGTCAGGAGTCTGGCACATTTTAGCTATGTTTTGTGCTCAGGATTTTACCAAACTGAAATCAAGATTCATCTCAATTGTGTTCTCATGGAGAGGCTCACCTAGAAAGGGATCTGCTTCTGGTCTGTCTCATATTCTTGGCAGAATTAAATTGCTTTCTCTTGTAAGCCTCAGGTTCCCATTTTCTCACTGGCAGTTGGCCGGCATCACTCTCAGGTATTAGACACTTCTTCCAGGTCCTTGCTGTCTTGTCTCCTTTGTCTTTTAAAGCAGGAAGTTTCATTCTTGTCAAGCACCTGTCTTCTGGAAAAGCATCGCACATTTTCATGGCTCACCTCATTAGGTCCAGGCCTCCAGGTAATGTCCTTTCTGATGGAGAGTAAGCTGACAATTAACAAGTTACAGGAATAATGTGCCACCGAACACGCAGGCTTTATCTGTACTCCAAGGTAGAAAATTATTCAAGTCATACACCCAAATCCTGGAGGTCATTTTGGAATTTTTCTCATGATAGACTTGCTTGGGGTAAGTAAAGTAACGTAGTGCTTGGTAGTAGTGGTGGGTGGCGATGGAATGATCTGCTTTAATACTAAATTGATGCTTTTAGGGAACTTTATAAATGGTATTGTATAATATAACAAGTTTCAGGCCTTATGATACAGAGAAAATGGAAATTCTGTGTCATTGTACGTATCCATTTTACAAAGGTAATTTTGACAGATCAATAGAGAATTATTAAATTTAAGCAGGATATTTAACAGATAGAAATATAAAAATTATAGTCATATGGTTCCATGTGATTTTTTTGTACATGTATATGTTGCATAATGCTTACCTCCTCAAATATTTATCATTCATTTATGGCGAAAAATGTTAAAAATCCTTTCCTGTAGCTTTTTGGAATATATGATTGTCTTTCTATTGTGAAATGCCACAGAAAAATCTCTTATGACTCTCCAACTATAACTTAGTATCCACTGATAGACCTTTCCCCAGCTCTCCTGATACTCTCCCCAGCATCCGGTAGCCAGGATTCTACACTTCTGTGACGTCACATTTTTAAATTTCATGTATAAGTGAGATGATACACTACTTGCCAAGCTATGCCTGGCTTGTTTCATTTAAGACAGTGATCTCTAGTTTCATCCATGTTATTTAATTGACACAACTTCCTTGTTCTCATAGCTAAAGAGTATTCTCTTGTGTGAATGTAACACATTTTTATCCATTTGTAAATTCATGGATACTCAGATTTTTTTCTGTATCTTGTCTATAGTGAGCAATGAATATTCAATTATTGATGTCTCTTTGACACATTGATTTTATTTTCTTTGGATACGTGACTATTAGTGGGATTGCTGTGTCACATGATATTTCTATTTTTAATTTTTTTCAGAAACCTTCAAACTGTTTTATGTAATGGCCATACTAATTAGCATTCTCACTAGGCGTATGGAAGACCTCCTTTCCCTCACATAATAGGTAGAATTTCTATGAGATATGCTTGTGAATGAATGGTGTTGTTACAGGTCATTATAAAGGGGGGAGTTCAACTCCCTTTTATGCTCTTTTTTTCACTAAACTGGTACAGAGAAAAAAAGTACCTGTAACTTCGTTTGCCTTTCTGCATATGATGCCTTCTGCGGAGCTACCACACTACACCTAGGCCCTTACCCAATGCTGGCTCCTCAATCTTGTACTTCCTGTTCCCCAGAGCTTTGAAGAAATAAATATCGCTTATTCACAATTATGCAGGGATTTATCTTTCATTTTAGCAATTGCCAAGAAATTTCTGTGTCATAAGAAAGAAAGCACAGAATTGTCAGCCATTAAACAAGTTTTGATGGATAAATTAATAAGTTTACTCATTCTTTAATTGAACATTCTTATGCATTCTATTCATTTACTCCAAAGTTGCCCAGTTGCCAAATTTGGTCACTTATTGTAATAGGTACTTTCTCATTGTGGGGATCAAATGTCCAACACTCACAAGTTAAAGGAGGAGCAGGCACATTTTGGGTGACAGTGCGGACCTTTCAGTCTGTGGTTGGCTGGCTCAGGGCAGGGTGGAGGAGAAACGGAGCGAAGTCTCCCTTTGCTTCTTTATTCCTTCCAGGCTTCAAGACTGTTGGTTGGAGCCACTCACACCCAGGGCAGGTCTTCTGTCCTGTTCTTAGCAAATCCGTCCAGCCACATCTGGAATTATACTAATCCAATCAGTTGACTAATAATCCAGTTGCCGTGCCCCTAATCCATACTCACACACACTAGATCTAGACATCTGCAAATACCCGCCACCTATAAATGCATGAAGGTTTTGGGGGACACCTAGATACAAGCCACGACACTTGCCCCATGGCTCACAGCGTTCTGGCTTTCTGTCTGTCCCAACAAACTTGAATTCCCAGAGTCTTTTCCCTGAGATTACCTCCACATCAAATATCCTCGTCCAAATGAGTTTTTATGTCGCTTTTTGGAATGAGATAGGGAGAACCCAAGGAAAAACTGAAACAGAGAAAAAGAAATTCAGCATGTAAAATATGTCAGTACTATTTAATTGGTGTTTTTCTGCCTGGGAATATCCCCAAGCAGTGTTTTTCTTCATCAATAATTTGAGTTTTTTGAGGAAGACGCAAGTGGATACTTTTAGATGAATGTTGGTTTTAAGACATTTTGTTTGGGACAGATGTTTGGGCAGGGAGTAAGAGGTGAAGTCTGCAATTTGGGGAGGGCTATGGCTGTGCAGAATGATGAACAAAATAGTAGTGATTTCTAAGATATAAAGATTTGCTATGTCGAAAGATTTTGTGTAGTAAAAACAATAAAAGACCATAATTTGCACATCAGTATCTTCAGAAAAGGAAAAAAAAAAAAAACACTGACATGCGGATTTGAATATTAGCCTACTTAAACTTATATTACAACCTAAAATTCCAACTGTTTTCTGACTCATACTTTTATTAAATATATTCCTTATTTTCATGTGCTCTTAGTTACTCTAAGAAGTTCATTCAGTTTCTGTCATTATGAAGTAAATTTAGAGTCACATTTCTGCCAGACTATTCAACTAAAAATACTGGTTTTCATTTCTTGCAGTTGAAATGAATTTTCAACAACTGTTGCCATAAGAGAAGACTTATCTTCAGTGCTTATTCATTTTTAAGGCTTATTTTCAATCGTTTTTGAAGACAATCCTGCTGTGAATAGCCTCTCTTTAATGCTACTTTCTAGAATATCAAAATATACTTCTCTATAAATGTTTTTATTTCAGATATGCACACTGAATAAAAACTAGCTTTTGATTGTACTTCAGAAGATTAAATTTATCATATAAATGTAACTATTAAGCCTTAGGAAATAAATTCAGAACTAAATTCCCAGAGTTTATACTGAATATATCCTAGCTTCTAAAGAGAAATTTTAGTGCAAAAATGTGACTAAGGGTAAAATTTTTAGACATTCGTGTAGAATGTGTAAAGTACATGTGTGCTGAATTAAGTGAAGAGTGGTTGCTTCACTCTGTGATAAAAATTGCAAAACAATAAATTTTTTAAATGTCTTTATATATTTATATATGTATGAACTGGATGTAAATGTACGTATATGTCTCTCTTATAGATGCATATATATATTCTCTGTCTCTTTTCTCTCTTGTCTGTTCCTCTTTTCATCCTTCTGCCATACCATGCATTTTTCCATGGTAAAATACAGCTTCCGGGCCTCATCAGATGCTGTTCCTCAATTTCATACTCCCCAGAATTCAGCACTGTGACATCTGTCCCACACAAACACACATCTTAGTTTAAAAGGAGAAATTCTCATTTGATTTATGTAAGTGGTTATGTTGCCTTTATGATAAAAAATACCCAATAAGTATTTCTAAAGTTTGGAGAGATTAGGTACAGACAATGACATATTTCAGATAATTTCAGTTTATAAAATTAGAATCAACTCAGTTATGAATCATGGATATCCTAATGAATAAACGAAAGTTATCTTTCATATACCCTAGACAGTTCATTCAGTACTATATATCTAATGTTTGGTGGAATTGCGGGCATATACCCCCTTTGTTTTTGGCTACGTTACTGGACATACTAATTGCCTGCTATCTCAGAGTTGTTTACTTGATGTCACCTGAAGCCTGGACACAGAATATTCCTATTCTGTAAGACTTAGCCACCCCTTGGTGAAAACAAGAATGCACAATCTGTAACAACATAGTTTAGTAAAAACTATTACTACATGACAGAGGAGTTAAAATCATCTGATTAACAGTACAAAAGATTTCAGAGTTCATAAAAACAGTAATGTGACTACCATGAAAATTTGTTAACTTCTGTAGCATGTAAAGGAAGTGAAGTCAATTCAGAAAGTTTTAGATATAATAGCTCTTTACAAATAATAATTCCATTTTAAGTGGAGTATTACATCTAATTTTTAAAAAAATTGGGTAAAGTTAGTCTTTACAGAGAAAACCATTTTAATAGTTGAATAATGCACAGTTGCAATGTATTACACATAAACTGAGCATGCTTTTAGAATACAGCAAACATATTTAAGCTAAAATATTCAGTAACCTTCAAATATATCCCAAATTTCTCTATACTAGTACAACTCTCTATTTAAAAGATATGAATACCCATTCAAATACAACTGGCCTATTAGATCCTAAACTCAAGCTAAGGAAATAAATTTGAAACCAAGTTAAAATTTTCCAAAAATAAGTGGAATGATTCTGATAGCACTGTGATGCTATTGGCTGATAAAGAAGCAAGAAGATTCTGATGAACAGAGATTTGGAGAATGAGGTCATTCAAATTCTCACTTAGTGTACTTTTAGCCATAGACAATCATCCCACAGAAGTTAACACTTTTATCTGATTTGTCAGTTATTGTTTCTAAAACTTAATATTGTTATCTGTGTAGAAGATGAGGAAAATAAGCAGTAAACAAAGACAGCAGCACCCATGAAAATTAAGCAAGTGCTGAGATTTCAGCACATTCCAAAGCATTTCATACTCAGATTTCATTAAGAAAATAAAGTACAATTCAATTCCAAATTTTGCTTTCATTTTTTTTTCTTTCGTGTTATGGCATAGACACCTTTATTTTAGGGCAAGTCCTGAGAAAATGAGGTTGCATCTAATTTAATAGCAATATTAAGATGGCATTCACACACAATTGCCTATCCATGTTGTATTTAATAAGAAAGCATTTTAAAAGTTCCAGTTTAGTTTTCCAGTAATTAAAAAATATCATCTACAGTAGAAAATTACTGCTTTTGGCTGGAAAATTAGAAATAGGCACATAGTTCTTTCTTTCTGTAAAATGACTGCTTCCAAGTATAATCTAAAACATACTAATTATAAATTTGACCAAAGTGAATAATTCTTATTTCTCAGAGAAAACTGTGAAGGGCATCGGCAATTGTCCGCTGTTTACTGTATAGCAGATCTGTGTCACAGCCTTGGAGAGCTCATCAATCATGTGATACATCACCTACAGACACGCACACAATGCATGTCGTTCCTGAAGCGGTAGAAATAAATGTTCATGACACACCCAATAACTTTTTTAAAAGTACCACATAAAATAAAAATCAAAAATATATAAATTAATATTAGGCTTAATAACCAATGTTATGGCATGCCTTTACTTCAAGTATAGATTTCTAATGAATATCTGCCAATTCAGTTTGGTATCAGTCAAAATTTGAAAGTTGCCTAACGTCCTTTGAAATTATCTTTAAGCTGATACATTATAAAATATAGTCATTATTGATATACTTCTTAATTTTCTACTTTGTTTTTGAAATTCTGTTTTTATAATTTTAAATGTTAAGTAGAAGTAATGCCAACATATTTAGTATGTGAATCTACTTGAGTTAAGGGAGAACATACTCAAGTTGAAAAAAAAACTATGCATTTAACACTAGTAATTCACAGTTGTTTTTATCAAGTCTAGATTATTGAACTAGTCTTTTTTGTTATGGATTTATCTAAAGTATGTGAATTTAATTTTTTTTTTTTTTTTTTTTTTTTTGTCTTTTTGAGACAGGGTTTTGGTATACAGTTCAGGCTGGCTTTGAGCTCACTTTGTACCTGAGGCTGGCTCTGAACTCACAACAATCCTCCTGCCTCAGCCTTCTAAGTGCTGGGATTACAGGCATGCGCCACCACACCTGGCATGAATTTGGATTCTTAAAACATTTCCATGTTGCTTTTTGTGAGAAATCTTTCCAAACTGGTCTACAGAAATTAAATCAATTTTATTGCTATTCACATATAAAGGAATATTGTAGTTTTAAGGCTTCCCTGCAAACCGGTTAGAACACAGTTTTTATAGTAGATTTTATAATTAATTCAAGAATAATATATGCACATAGAAAAATACTACACACAGAATTAGTGGTAATAAGTTCTTTGAATGGAAGATTCAGCAACATACATACACACATGATAAATTCAGTTCTAAATCTTATTTCTGGTTCAGAGTAAACACAAGTGCAGGAAACTCCTGTGTTCATTTCAGGGACTAGTTCTCTTCTCTGAGCTCAAAACACATAGAGAAGACTAACCAGTTTATTTGTCACCTTTCCCTCAAGGCTGAGATCTCCATACAACATGAATCTATTTTATATTTAATTATTAAACAATTCAAATTTCTAATGTGGGATAATAGAGTGGCTGTTAAAAGGCAAAAATAAAATACAAAGCACAAGAAATTTTAATTTAAAAAAACCAAGCCAATCGTCAAGAATTGCATAAAAAAAAAATTTTAAAAAATTAAAAAATGAAAGGAAAAAAGCCTGGGGTTTTAAGAAGTAGCAAAACAGGACTGAGGGAAGGAGTGGCAGGGAGTCTCATCTAAGTGACGCAGGGTGGCCCCAAGCTGTGAGCTGTTTCCAAGGTAAAGGAATGAGGGGTTTCTTAAGGGCACTGTTTCCCAGGAACACTGGGATGAAAATCCACCACTGTCAAGAGGTTGCTGGGCTCCCTCCCCATTCCTGCATATGGAGAAGGAAACTGGACTCAGAGATCACAGTGGTCTTAAACTCCCCCCAGTTTGAGTGAACATCAGACATGGTTCTTGTGGCTCTTAGCCCCGATCTTCCTTTTGTGCTTAGCCTGTAACTGACAACTGGCCGTTGTAACTGACGATTAGAGTAACCTGTAACTGACAACTGACAAGTGTAACTGACAGTTGGAGTAACCTGTACCTGACAATTCTTTCTCTGCTCTTTGGAGATACATATCCATCATATTGTAGTCATTTTGGCTGCTTTAGGATCCTGGAAATTTTGTGCAAGAGCCTGTGAACCAGCCCTTCACAACTTTTTAAAAATAGTGACAGTTGTACCCTGGTTTCCCCGTCTTCATGGGAGACTGGGTGCCAATCCTCTAAAAGCACCAATTAGCAAACAGTGATGTTATAATCTCAGAAATAGACTGTGGAAAACTCAGGATCAATGCACTTTAACTTCTAGTAATTCCAGTTAATTTATAAATACTATACCATTGAAAAATCTCTCCCCTAATTCCTCCTTTACTACTCTTAATTTTTGTTTTTTTAATTTTTTGTAAACAAGAGTTATGCCTCACTTACCTATTCCAGTCATCTTGAATAAAGTCCTCTTTGCCTTTTACCTTTATTTGGTGAGTTTTTTGCTTTGAGAGAAACAGATTCTATAATCATGAATATATTACTTATTTCGTATCTCTGAAAAATTGTTAACCTTTGTTGTCTGAAGTACGATAGTTTATATTATTGCAATGTGAAAGTATGTTTCCCATTGTCCAGTTTTGTTTTTTTCTTATGTAGGAAGATAAATCTAGTTCTTATTACTTTATTTTTGCTCGAAGCAGAAAGAATCTATGCAAATTATTTTTAATTAGGAAGTGAAAGACATGTCAACTGAGAACAATAATATTGAGTTGAGCTAGAATGCCGCTGGTTAATTTATTCATTCAAAAACAATAAGTGTACATAAAAATTGCCCAAAGTGAATGTAATGATGACGGATTGCCAACATATACAGATAAAAAGAAGCTATAAGAGCAAAAATAGAACAAAGTTCACAATTTAAATTAATATAAAATCTTTAGATATTTTGTTCAGATAATGATGTAACTGTTAAGTCTATGAATGCAAAACTAAAGGCATCCTGCAGACCTGTGTTAAGATCACTCATTTTATGACCCTCTACAAAAATTTCTCAGTTGAAACTATTTTGAATTTCTAAACCAGTTTCTTCGCAAGCTGATTTTGAAAATTTCATTACTGAGC